CGGGTTAAGTACTTAATTCATTCCGGAGGTCCATTCTTAACCTGAAACTGTTCTTAACCTGAAGCACCACTATAGCTAATGGGGCCTCCTGCTGCCGCCACGCTGCCCAAGCACGATTTCTGTTCTCATCCTGAAGCAAAGTTCTTAACGTGAAGCACTATTTCTGGGGTAAGCGGAGTCCGTAACCTGAAGCGTATGTAACCTGAAGCGTCTGTAACCCGAGGTACACTGTGCAGACTTTTGTTGGCAAGGTGATGTCTCTGCTTTTTAAGATGCTGTCTAGGTTTGTCATTGCTTTTCTCCCAAGAAGCAGGCGTCTCTTAATTTCGTGACTGCTGTCACCATCTGCAGTGATCATAGAGCCCAAGAAAGTAAAATCTCTCACTTCCTCCATTTCTTCCCCTTCTATTTGCCAGGAGGTGATGGGACCAGTGGCCATGATCTTCGTTTTTTTGATGTTGAGCTTCAGGCCATATTTTGCGCTCTCCTCTTTCACCCTCAATAAAAGGTTCTTTAATTCCTCCTCACTTTCTGCCATCAAGGTTGTGTCATCTGCATATCTGAGGCTGTTGATATTTCTTCCGGCAATGCTGCAAAATCTACCCCCCCCCCCAATCCAGCTGCAAAGTATTGACCTGCTTGTTTTTAAAACAACAACAACAACCAGGGTGTTGCACTGCACGGACACGCATCCTTGTGCAGGACGCACTTCACACTGCAAGCATCTGGAGGGCGCCTGGTTGGCCAATGCTGCAGCGCAGTTGCCTGCAACGCATTTGCAACCTGAGGGTGTAGTGAGCATGTTCTGCCTGCAGGTGTCGCTGCAGGACTGAAGAGCCCAGAAGGGGAGGAAGAGACACGCCCCCTCCCAGCAGCTATGGCAACGAACAATCAGGAGGGTACTACCTCGGGCAGCGTCGAGCGCCCCCTAGAGTCCTGGCGCGCTAACGCGGCCCCTTAAAAGCTAGGTTCAAGTTTCCTTTTCTGCAAATGCAGAGCAGGGGGTCTGTGTGTCTTGGAAATCATAGATTTGTAGAGTGGGAAGGGACCACAAGTCCTGAAATGCAGAAATCTTTTGCCCAGCACCAACCCATAACCCTGAGATTAAGAGTCTCATGCTCTACAGCATGAAAAACAACTACAAGACCTAATAATAATAATAATAATAATAATATAATAATAATAATAATAATAATAATAATAATAATAATAATAATTTATTATTTATACCCCATCCATCTGGCTGGGCTTCCCCAGCCACTCTGGGGGGCTTCCAACAAAATATTAAAATACAGTAATGCATCAAACATTAAAAGCTTCCCTAAACAGGGCTGCCTGTCGTCCGCCTGGCCTTTGGTTTGGACTCACTCTGACCCTTATGTTTCCCTCCCCTTATGGTTTTGATCTATGGGCTACTTTTAAAATGAGTCTGCATTTTAAATTGCATTTAACCTGCATTTTAAATTGGTTCCCCCCCCCCCCATTATGTTTTTATTGTAATTTTACTGGTGTTAGCCATGCTGAGCCCGGCTCTGGCTGGGGAGGGCAGGGTATAAATAAAATTTATTATTATTATTACCGGACAATAAACAACTACCTGACATTTAGAAGACGTCTGAAGGCAGCCCTGTTCAGGGAAGTTTTTAATGTGTGACATTTTAATGCACAGTGGTACCTCAGGTTACAGATGCTTGAGGTTACATACGCTTCAGGTTACAGACTCCGCTAACCCAGAAATAGTGCTTCAGGTTAAGAACTTTGCTTCAGGATGAGAACAGAAATTGTGCGGCGGCAGCTAAAGTGGTGATTCAAGTCAAGAACAGTTTTAGGTTAAGAACAGACCTCCAGAACAAATTAAGTTCTTAACCCGAGTACCACTGTATTTTAATCTTTGTTGGAAGCTGCCCAGAGTGGCTGGGAAAACCCAGCCAGATGGGCGGGGGTACAAATAATAAATTATTATTATTATTATTATTATTATTATTATTATTATTATTATTACAGACTGAGCAATCCCAGACAACAAGTCATGCCAAATGAATCTCATCGCCCCCTTTTTTCAGGGAGTTACAAGCTTGGTGGATCAGGGGGACGCTGTTTAGTGTATCTTGATTTTAGGAAGGCCTTTGACAAAGTCCCCCATGATATTCTTGTAGCGAAGGCGGCATGAGCATAATAATAATAATAATAATAATAATAATAATAATAATTTTTATTTATATCCCGCCCTCCCCAGCCGAAGCTGGGCTCAGGGCGGCTAACAACAATAAAATAATACAACATTCTAAAATCATTTCATTATAAAATTAATTCAAATCAAATTGATGGCAACCATTGGGCTAGAGTTCGGTGAAGATTGCCAAAGGAGGGAGTCAGACTGTGCCCTGACCAAAGGCCTGGTGGAACAGCTCTGTCTTGCAGGCCCTGCGGAAAGATTTTGGTTAGGGTGGGGGGCAGCCAAAGTTGTTGAGCTTTTCTTGGGAAATTGCGGGTAAGAATAATACCCCAAAGACAGGATATTAGCCCCCCCCCCGGCTACACCCATGGAAGGTAGTAAAATGTGGGCTGGATGATGAGGTTAGGTGGATTTGTAGCCAGTTGGCTGACCGAGCCCAAAATCTATTCATTTATGGTTCCTCGTCATCCTGGGGGAAGTGACAAGTGGGATGCCATAGGGTTCTATCCTGGGCCCAATGTCTTTATAAATTGAAATACTTTATTGTCACTCATACAACTTGTATACAGTGAGATTACACAAGCACCCCCCACTCAGCTCTCTTAGTCTTAATTCCCCTCGTTTACTGACGCACACCCACCAAACCCGAAATTCAGTTGCCCTGTTGTTATCTTTTCATTCAGCAGCCTAATAGCCCACGGATAGAAGCTGTTTTTTACCCTGTTGGTGCGACTAATCATGCTTCTATATCTTCTGCCCGAGGCAGGAGATCAAGAAAGTGCCGGCCAGGGTGTGAATCATTCCCTGAGAATTTTCCTCACTCTCCTGAGGCAAACGTTTCTTCTGCTATTTCATCCAGCGGATTCACGGCACAGCCCATATAATCTTGTGCTGTATTCACCGCCCTCTGTAGCACTTCCTATCTGGTTGGTGTCCAACCAGCGTCCCCACACCGTGATGCAGTAGGAAAGGACACTTTCTATTGTGGACCGGTAGAGGAGATCATCAGCTGTTGATTGACATCGTTCTTCTGCAATATTCTGATGAGATGGAGTCTCTGTTGGGCTTTCTTAACCACCTGGGTTGTATTGATTTCCAAGTAAGGTCTTCACTGAGATAAAACTCCTAGGAATTTAAAGGAAGAGAATCTCTCCACACAGCGGGGCTAGTTTCTCTCTTTCTCCGAAAGTCCCAACACCATCTCCTTTGTCTTACTGATATTAAGGTGCAAGTTGTTCCCCTAGGCACCATGTAGCTATTTTTTTGGACCTCCCCTCTAGAACGCTGATTCTCGTCTCCACCTGTTATTAAACCCATTATGGTGGTGTCATCTGCAAACTTAATAACTGCAGATTATAAATAATAATAATAAATAATTTATTTAAAATGACTTGGACGAAGGAATTGAGGGAATGCTCATGAAATTGCAAACTGGAGGGGTAGCTAACGCCACAGAAGACAGAATCGGAATTCAAAATGACCTTAACAGATTGGAGAACTGGGGCCCAAACTGACAAATAGGGACAAATGTAAGGTTCTGCACTTAGGCAGGAAGAACAAGCTGTCACAACAGTAGAGGGAACAACATTATTTTCTGCCGCACCCGGATACCAATGGATTCTAATTGCAGGAAAGGTGGTTGCGACTAAACGTCAGGAAAACTTTATGGAGGCTAGAGCAGTTTGACACAGGAGCAGAATCCCTTGTAAGTGGTGGTCTCTCCTTCCTTTGGAAGGGGTTCTTTAACGGCAATTCCTGCGTTGTACGAAGTTGGACTAGATCCACTGGGTTCCCTTCCATTTGACAATTCTATGAGCATATAAACAGCAAGCTGCATCTAGAGTTATGTCACTGGGTGCCATCTAATTTTGGAAGTTAAGCAGGGTCCGGTCTGGATGGGAGACCACCTGGAGATGTTGTGTATGGTGGGATTCTTCCTTTTGCTCCCATAAATTGTCACTTCGACTTTCTCATCTCAGAGCTCAGGAACCATCTCTTCTTTTTTTTTTCTTCTTCCCCAAAATCCAAAGATTGTTCTGACACCTTAAAAGGGAGATTTGATGCAGATTTTTCCCATGCATGAATTCCCATTCAGGTCGTGGCTGTAAAAAGGTAAAGGGATCCCTGACCATTAGGTCCAGTCGTGACCGACTCTGGGGTTGCGGCGCTCATCTCGCTTTATTGGCCGAGGGAGCCGGCGTACAGCTTCCGGGTCATGTGGCCAGCATGACTAAGCCGCTTCTGGCGAACCAGAGCAGCGCACAGAAACCCCATTTACCTTCCCGCCAGAGTGCTACCTATTTATCTACTTGCACTTAGACGTGCTTTCGAACTGCTAGGTTGGCAGGAGCAGTAGTGGCTGTAACTGGTTGCAATTTCAGGGGGGGATTGTGAGACAGAAGGGAGAGGAATTTCCCAGCCACCTTTGCATCAAATGTGCCATTCAAGGCCTTAGATTAAGTGGTCTCTGCTGCTAGCTTAGGCTTTTAAGATATGAAGAAAACTATTCAAACTGAATCAGACCAAAGCCTTCCTAGTGACAGACATGTCAGAGCTGTCTAGCGGGTGGTGTTTTAAAACAGCTCCCTGCATAAAAAAGCTTGAATCCCTAAACTTGAGATGTACTATGCAAGGAGATAGGAACATTGAGTGTGGACACTGGACAGAGCAGGAGAAGGTGCAGTTAAACTACACTGTAACTGTCTGTTAAAATGTTCTTAACTTATCATAACTGCAAAAGGAAACAATAAAGGTGATTTTTAGACTGAGGGGGGAAAGGAGGGGATTCCTGGGTCTGAGTTGCAAAAGGGGAAAATTGCAAAAATGCCTACTGCACCCAGTATTCCCAGGCGGTCTCCCATCCAAGTACTAACCAGGCCCAACCCTGCTTAACTTCCGAGATCGGGCGGGATCGGGTGCATTCAGGGTGGTGTGGCTGTAGGCGGCAGAAGGGCTTTCAATGGCCCTTTTCTGGTCCTGACTCCGCCTTTGCAAGAGTTTGCATTTCACCCAGCTCTTTTTTCCTGCTCCTGCTGCCTCCCAGTGCTGCCTACCCAAGGAGAAACGCATCCCTTTTGCTTTCACTCCCTTTCTCCTGCCAAATCTTGCAGGCAGGAAAATGCTGGCACTTGCAACGGGGGCTTTGCAGCTGCAGAACGCCTTTCCTCCGGAATTGCAACCGTGCAAGAGCTGCAGAAAACCGCTCACCGTGCATTATTTTATTTTATTCTATTCTATTTTATTTTATTTTGCATTCTGCTCTGCAAAATCCCAGAACTTGCCCTGGGTTGCAGCGGTCAGAGAGGCGGAACGAGCCTGTGCTCTCCTCGCTCCTGCCAGCAGGTGGCGCTGCGCAGCCATCCCTTAGAAAAGAACGGTGCGCGGGCGAGACGGCAACCAGATAAATCAGCGGCGGTGGGCGCGGCCTGCGCGCGCATGCGCACCCCTTAAGCATTCCCGGCCTTGGAGCAGCTCTGCGGCTCTCCTCCGGGGGCGGGGCGAAGAAGGTGCGCGGGCGGGCGCAATCGCCTCGCCGCCCGCAGGGAGTTGTGCGGCTTTGCTGCCGTTCTGACCTCCCGCCCGCAGGTGGCGCTGTACGGAGAGCGCTCTTTTGACCAAAAAAAGGGAACGCCGGATCCTCCGCTGCTGGAAGCTTCAGCAGATTCCCCCTCCGTGATTGCTTTGAAAGCAGGAAGTGGGAGGGGGCAGCTTACACTCGTGTAAGCAGCTCCTCGTCCCACTTTCCTCCTTTCAAAGCAACTACCGGAGGAGGGAAGCGAACGATGGACCAGTGGATCCTCCGCTAGCTGGAAGCTTTCCAGCCTGCATTCCCCCTCCGTGATTGCTTGAAGCAGGAAAGTGGGGAGGGGGGCAAGCCTTTACAACTCGCTGTAAGCAGCTCCCTCCTCCCACTTTCCTCCTTCAATAGCAACTACGGAGGAGGTAAAAGGGAATAAGGAAGGAGGACCATGGATCTTCCCTTGCTGGAGGGTTCAGCGGATTCCCCCCCCCCCAGCTTAAGTGGGCGTGGGGGGAAGTGTGGCAGGTCAGGGGGGTACCTACCTAGACAGTGAACCACATGTCTCCTCCAATGAAATTGGGGAGCTGCAGCATCTTGTGTGAAGTGGCTGTGGGATTCCCTGCCGCAGAACTGTAGGACTGTTATAGAGTTGGGAGGGCCACCCGAGGGTCATCTAGCCCAGCCCCCTCACAATGTAGGAATCACAGCTAAAGAACGCAGGCAGATGGTCCCCCAACCGCTGCTTAAAAAGCCTCCAGTGGTGGAGACCCCAAACACCTTCCGAGGTCATAGAATTGCCAGGTGTTGGAAGGGAACCCCAGGAGTCATCTAGTCCAGCCCTGTGGACAGCATGTGCATCCATCCCGATTGCGCAAGACTAAAGATGCTGCGCAAGGCTAAAGAAGAAGCCAAGGCAGCGAGCGGGATGGATCGCGCTTGCTGCCTTGTCTTCTTCTTTAGCTGCACTGGAGAGGTTTAGCTCCTGGCTGGAGAGGTTGTGCGGCTATGGACCCCACGCGCTGTCTTGGCTTCTTTGCTCTTTGGGGCTGGGGGGGGGGGGAACCCGGGCTTCCCCGCAGCCCCGAGAAGGTCTGGGAGAAGTGGACAGGCTGCGTGCAGCCTGTCCGTTGCTCTTTGGGGCTGGGGGGGAATAATATTTTTTCCTTGATTTCCCCCTGTAAAAACTAGGTGCGTCCTGTGGTCCGGTGCGTCCAATAGAGCGAAAAATACGGTAGTTAAACCTATGGTTTTCCCAGTAGTGATGTATGGAAGTGAGAGCTGGACCATAAAGAAGGCTGATCGCCGAAGAATGGATGCTTTTGAATTCTGGTGCTGGAGGAGACTCTTGAGAGTCCCATGGACTGCAAGAAGATCAAACCTCTCCATTCTGAAGGAAATCAGCCCTGAGTGCTCCCTGGAAGGACAGATCCTGAAGCTGAGGCTCCAATACTTAGGCCACCTCATGAGAAGAGAAGACTCCCTGGAGAAGACACTGATGCTGGGAAAGATGGAGGGCACAAGGAGAAGGGGGTGACAGAGGACGAGATGGTTGGATAGTGTTTTTGAGGTTACCAGCATGAGTTTGACCAAACTGCGGGAGGTAGTGGAGGACAGAGGTGCCTGGAGTGCTCTGGTCCATGGGGTCATGAAGAGTCGGACACGACTAAACGACTAAACAACAACAACAAAAAGCAGCCAAGAACACTTTTGCTGATCTGCTGGAAGTTCTTGCTCATAGCGCCATGCAGAGCTAGCTCAGGGACCACTCAGTGGGACTCTTAATCTCAGGGTCGTGTGTTTGAGCCCCACATTGGCAAAAGATTCCTGCTGGGGGTTGGACTAGTTGCTCTTGTGCTTGAATACTGCTTGTGGGGTTTCCCATAATGGGCAACTGATTGGCCACTGAGAGAACAGGATGCTGGACCACATGGGCCATGGGTCTGATCCAGCAGGCTCTTCTTATGTTCTTAAGATGGGGGTGGTAGTAACACAAGCTTAAGATGTCCTGTATACCTGAAGAAGTGTTCCCCATCGTTCAGCCCAGACACGGAGGTCCAGCGCTGAGGGCCTTCTGGTGGTTCCCTCCCTGTGAGAAGTGAGGTTACAGGGAACCAGGCAGAGGGCCTTCTCGGTGGTGGCGCCCGCCCTGTGGAATGCCCTCCCTTCAGATGTCAAGGAGATAAATATACGACTTTTAGAAGGCAGTCCTGTTTAGGCAGGTTTTTAATGTTTGATGTTATATTATGCTTTTGCATATGATAGAAGCCGCCCAGAGTGGCTAGGGGACCCAGTCAGATGGGTGGGGGCACTATTATTATTATTATTATTATTATTATTATTAATATTATTATTAAAGATAAGTTGGGCCGATTTAGAGGAGCATAGGTCTACAAGACCTATCAACAATATGTGGAGCTGCCCTTGGTCCTGGGTCCAGAAGCCAATTGTAGTGGCTAGGATGCTGATGAGGTCAAATCACTGACAACATGCAATATCATTGTTAAAACATCTGCACTGGCTGCCCATCTGCTACCTGAACAACTTTGGTCCAGCATAACATAGAGATTGCCTGAACCCTTATATCTTAGCTTAAGCACAGAAGACGCCTGTAAGAGCATTGTTGGTTGTCTGTTGGTGAGGCTCATCTACATGAAACCGGGCCTCCAGTCTTGCAGAGTGCTCTACCAATAGACAAGCAGAAAAGTTTGCTGAAAAAGTTTCTACGCCACCAGGCTTTCACAGACAATTACAGTGGTACCTTGGGTTACAGACGCTTCGGGTTACAAACTCTGCTAACCAGGAAGTGGTTGCTCCAGGTTAAGAACTTTGCCCCAGGATAAGAATGGAAATTGTGCACCAGCGGCGCAGCAGCCCCATTAACGAAAGCATGCCTCAGGTTAAGAACCGTTTCAGGTTAACAACGGACCTCTGGAACGAATTAAGTTCTTAACCCGAGGTACCAATGTACAGGAAAAATATTTGTGTTACTGTTAGTCAGTGATCTCTGATTTGGAGTGTGTGTGTGTGTAAATTGATCAATTGATAGATTGATCAATAGATACAGAATCATAAGTCATCTAGTAGCTAAAGATTCCCTGACATATGTCCATCCAAGCTCTGTTTAAAAACCTCCAATGAAGGATTGTCCACTACTTTCCAAAGCAGTCCACCCCGGCGTCAAACAGTGTAATTCATAAAACCACTTATTCTTTTTATGAAATTGTGGTACAAGTATTATAAATAACCAAGCGCTACTAGCGAGGTCTGGTGGCAGTCTCCTTCTACCCGAATACCAAGCACTGGAGGCAAACAGGAGAGTGTACCACTCTCATGCCATTCTCTGAGCTTCCAGGAATCAGCTGGCTGCCTGCCTTGCTCTTGGAAGCAGGATACTGGGCTAGATGCTTACTAATAAGCTGCCATGTAAAAGAACCTGGACTGTGACCGAGGAAGTCCATCTGCAGCTCCTTCTGCCCCTCCTGTCTGCAGGGAAGAGCCTAGAACCAGGACTATGCCATCAAAAGCCAGGGACAGAAGACTCTGCCATACGGACCCTCCCCATGTATCCTTATCATAGTCGTAACAAGCACAACCGGAATCAAAATGTTGCAGCATATCCCCCCCCAAAAAAGAAACCTTCCAGCTGGGCGTTCCACAATTCTCTCTCCCTAAGAGGGGTGGCTAACACCCCAGAGGACAGGATCACACTTCAAAACGACCTTGACAGATTAGAGAACTGGGCCAAAACAGATTAGAGAACTGGGCCAAAACAAACAAGATGAATTTTAACAGGGAGAAATGTAAAGTATTGCACTTGGGCAAAAAAAATGAGAGGCACAAATACAAGATGGGGGACACCTGGCTTGAGAGCAGTACATGTGAAAAGGATCTAGGAGTCTTGGTTGACCACAAACTTGACATGAGCCAACAGTGTGACGCGGCAGCTAAAAAAGCCAATGCAATTCTGGGCTGCATCAATAGGAGCATAGCATCTAGATCAAGGGAAGTAATAGTGCCACTGTATTCTGCTCTGGTCAGACCTCACCTGGAGTACTGTGTCCAGTTCTGGGCACCACAATTCAAGAAGGACACTGACAAACTGGAACGTGTCCAGAGGAGGGCAACCAAAATGGTCAAAGGCCTGGAAACGATGCCTTATGAGGAACGGCTAAGGGAGCTGGGCATGTTTAGCCTGGAGAAGAGGAGGTTAAGGGGTGATATGATAGCCATGTTCAAATATATAAAAGGATGTCACATAGAGGAGGGAGAAAGGTTGTTTTCTGCTGCTCCAGAGAAGCGGACACGGAGCAATGGATCCAAACTACAAGAAAGAAGATTCCACCTAAACATTAGGAAGAACTTCCTGACAGTAAGAGCTGTTCGACAGTGGAATTTGCTGCCAAGGAGAGTGGTGGAGTCTCCT